TCCCGCTGCCCGGTGGCCAAAAGGTCATGGACCAGAACTGGCCCACAGGTTGGGGCCCACAGGTTGGGGACCCCTGGTCTACATTATCCAGTTGCTGTACTCTGTATTTCTTCCCTTGCTGTCCTCACTAACCAAAGTTGTGTAGGTTCTAAATGAGCAATACTTAAGATCAGTCTTCAAAGTTCTGGCCATTGCAGTGCCCCTGCAATCATGGGATCATATAATTCAGGATTTGGCACTTATAATAGTTGCAGCTTCCCAGTCATATGTTCACTATTTGCCACCTTCCCTGCCAGCTGTCCACAAACAAAGTCAATGGGGAAGCCAGCAGGAAAACTTGCAAGTTGCTGTGGTAAGTTCCCTTTACTTTCCCTTGTCTTGCCATTCATCCCCTGGCCTTCCTGAACTCACATTACACCACCCACCTCTCAGCCAACCTGTGCTCACACCACACTACACCATCCATCTCCCTTGCCTTCCTGTCCTCCTGCACAACCTATCCCAGACCTCCCAAGCACTCCTTTGCCTCCTTCAACTCATATACCTCTTGTATTCTGGACCTTCCCCCACAGCACATACCCCTCCATAGCACCTGTGCTGCACCACAATCACACTTCCCACTTAATGACTCACACATCTTTGGATTATGAAAGCAACGGGGACTCCAGGATTGTCACTGGCAAAGCAATGCACTTATCCGACACTTTCCTTTACGACTGTATTGCTTAGCAACGGCAATCCTAATCCTATTGCTGTTATAAGTGGTACATTTCTTTTAACTGAGAACACAACCAAATTTATAAGCAGCAGAATTGTAGTCATTCATTATTAGTCATTACACCACTTAACGTAGCATCTCCTTAATATTTAACACCAGCACACTGTTAATGATCTGGCCCTGTATTTTAATTCTGGCTCTTCCAATTCTGCCATTCTTATGATATATATGATATATTTCTGACTTTCTTAAAAAACATTTTGCACTTTTACTGTGAATTATTTTAGCTTCATCTCTCTCTCGCCAGAAAAAATAACATTACTGGAAGCTTCTGGCTGCATGACTTCTAGATTCACTGAATCTAACAAACCAGCTGGTTCTCAAGTTTTAACAGCTAACAACTAACTTTAGAGCTATATAAGAAGTGATCTGTAAAAAGATAGACAAATATGGCATTATCCATGTGAAAGGCTTAAGGTTATTTTATTTGGCATTATGTATTTGCCTGTTTTACTATTCAAAGTTAACTGTCTGGACAAGAGTATTCAACCCTGTGAATATAAGGTTTACTTTTCCCATATACAAATATGCTGCACAACACAACTAGACATTTTCAGAGGCAGCATTATTGTTTTTATCTAGGGAGTCATTGGTAGAAATGGGGAAAATGTGGAAGAACATTCCACTGTAATGCTTTCCATATGAGAATAAGTCTGCAACATATTACAGTATGTCAGCGCAAGTAGCTATGAGAATTGTTATAATCAGAAATGCCAAAAAGAGACAATACTAGGAATGATGCATAATGCTATCTGTGTTTTTTGAAATTAGTTCAAATGATATTGATATAAGCTCTATTTTAAAAAGGCAGGAGTTAGAATATGAGTGCAGTAAAATAGGCATAATGACAATCGGCTTTGCTTCAAGACTAAAATTTACAGCCAAGATGAAACTGACAAGGAACTTCAAAATGTGGCTTTATTACTACATTTAGCTTTTGTATTATTAATACTTTGTTGTATAAGCCATAATTGCCTGACTCATGCAGGAAATTTAGCCATAAGCTAAATCACAATGGCTAGAATCAGACATCACTAACAATCTATAGCATGGCTTAGCAAGGAAGGGCAACTGAGTCTTTGCCTACCCCCCCCCCCATTCTTCTAGGAATGCACTTTGATATCAGTGACAGCTTTCCTCTTATAGGAGCAGCATTTAAGGCAGCAAATTTCACTAGGACTGTAGCATCGTGAGATAAGTTTAAATATCTCAAGCCTGATACTTATCTAGTTTTCTCCATTATATCTACGCAGGTTAAGCATCTTGCACATAACAAGCACACTGATATTCTGTTGTAACATCTTTAATTGTCCAGGATAGACCTTTTGTCTTATTCTTTAAAAAGTATTATGTAACTAATAGGATTTTTCCTCAAAGAAATAACACTTCTATAATGTATTTGAATTTTCATAGATTAATGTAGTTTTCCCAGCTTGTGCAATTGTTGTATGGGTGACTGATCCTACCAATGACATAAAGCCTTCTTTTAGCCATGATAAATTCACAAGTCTGTGAAGATCATTTTTTGTCTGTTCAAGAGTAATGCTGGGATACTTGTGAGAATTCCTGCTCGAGATGTTTACAACTTCAAACTCCTTTCTAACTACTGCAGCTCTTCAGACTGGACTGAATTCTGTGAAAGCCTTTCAGGGACAGACAGGGAGAAGTTGCAGAATATAGGATTTAAACTTGCAGAATTCTAGTTGTGCTTTTTTAGATTCTAACTAATAATACTGACATGGCTGCTCTTGCAAAATATACAATATGAATGCAATATCTCTTTTAGAGGATTATAGTGAGGTCACTGAAATAATTATCCTTTATTTTAAGCAGAGAACTTCTAAATATATTTGCATGTGTCCATAAAATTAAGACAGATTAACTTCAGTACTTAAAAATAAGCATCCAAAAAGCTGGGAACTCTGAATGGCAGTTCATGAGGATGAAGATTAAGAGAAATCATGAAATATTTCTTACAACACAAGCTATATGAAATTATATGGAAAAATATCATTCTTTTAAACCTGTATTTTTATTAGTCTCACGAACACATGGTTTCCTATTTAAGTATCTGTTAAAGTATTCTATTTACAATCTAAAATCAATGAACTGAACCAGGTTTTAGTGTCTAAAAATCTATCACATTCCTTGTTAAAGCAATCAACACGCAAATGGTAGAGATGAACATAAAGGAGTGATGTAGAATTCTGTCATTTATTATATTAGAGTTATTGAAATTAGTAATATAAAAATATATTGCTGTTATAAAGGAAGTTTCAATTACGCCTAGACAACATAAAAGCAACATGTTTTGTTTAAAACAAAATGCTGTGCTTCCCAAGTTCCTTATCTAAAACACAGTTTGAGTTTCTAAGAAAACAGGAGACTGAATCAACAAAATACCTTCATGTTGTCGGTACAGTAATTCTTGTAATGCAGGAAACTTTATTACCTGCCTTCGAAGTCACTTAGCCGGAAATAAATCCAATGAGATCTATATGTGTAATACTTGTTTTAAAACAAAAAAAAATTCTGATTTTGTCTAACAGACTTCTTCAATTTGAATAACTGCAACACTGTGCAAGGTTACTTTATTAAGCACCTTTATTTCATCATTGAAGAAACTTCATATTTGCTCTTATTTTGCAAACAAACATGAAACAGTAGGCTTTGGCGAGAAAATTGGATACAGAAATGTCTTAAAATGACATATAACTGTGAATAGAAAGTTATTCTTGAAATTATAAAAAAGCAAAATGTCCTTGGCTCACTAGGATAGTGTCCCTGAAGAAGCAGTCACAGGTGTTATTATCTGGATATATGCTGAAGCTCCAGTTTGTCCAAAGAACAGTAGTTAGGTAAATACATAGCATGGACATTTTATGACATATAATTTTTAAATTTATAACTATTTTGTAAGATTTTCTAATACTACAGCAAACCAGATTATGTCCAGCAGCATTATCACATAACTTCAATATTGTGTTATAAATGATAAATAACACAAAGGCTTACACTATACATGTAGACATTTGATGGGAAATATAAATTAGATAAATTATTCTGTCCCTGAATCACAGATATTGTAACAAGATTGCAATTCCTACGTAAAATCTTGCAGCAGTAATTAATCTAATTGCTTTCCTGGCATAACACAGCTGCTTCTCAACTACAGGAACAGAAGCCAAAGAAGCCACTAAAACTGCTTACACTATTGCTACTCAGCACAGAAACCACAAACCCATGAATTCAGGAAGTGGCCCAAAACTTTCAAACTTTCCATGTTGCATCAAAAAGCAGAATATCAGCCAACACAGCAACTCCTGTTGGTCTCTGCAACTGAGATTTATGCTCTGTGTTGCTGGGAAATACTTTAGAAGATGAACAACCTAAAAAAAACAATTTAGCACAATAATCCTAGTGATCAGCTTATTGCTTACACTCAATTCACTAAATTTGAAGGGGAGGTCAAAAACAATGGGATAAGACAGTGAAGGATTCTGCAGCTTTTCCAACATTATTTTAATAGGTACACTATCTTAATTATGTTCCCTCTACTGCATTATAAAGTGCACAATATTCCATCAAACCTCCTGCTTGCAGCAGTTTCTACTTCCTGTTCAATTCAACTCCTCGTGAGCTTCTGATGTCTCATTTTTCAAGGCTGTGTTCACATCCTACCAACATTTAATGAGCAGTGATTGACTAAAATCTATTATCTGGTTTTATACAAGCTAGGGAGCCATAAACCAAATTTGTCCCACCAATATTTATGAATAAACTTGATGGTTCATTGCATTGTGCAAAATCAGTTAACCAAGTTTTGGTTAGCTATGTGTTAGCATCTTGCCTATTGTGCAACCACTGACCTTGCCCTCCCCCTTGATGTCTTCCCAGTTTTTATCCATCAAAAAGCCTCCTTGCGTTCAATCCAAAAGCCCTGTCATGCAACACAACACCTTCCCTGGTAAATTTCTCTCACTTTTACTGCTCCACGTTTGAAGATAACACATAAGACAGGAAAGAGGTCACTAAATCTTGCCTGGTAATAAGACAGGCCAAACCTCAGGCTAAGCCTGGGCTATTAATAACCTTCTTGGATATTTAGTAGCCTAACCAAGGCTGGGGCGCGGGGGGGGGGGGAGCCGAGTCCAGAAATGAAATCCTCCAACAGAGACGTGCAGTCGAACGTGTGTGGGGGGAGGTTGTGCCTCCCACTCACCTGCGTGGGGCATCGTAATCGTCTCGTTGGCATTGCTGGCGCCAACGTTGTAGATGACCACGGCCGAGGCATTTTGGGAGGCGGCGTGCCGAATCTTGTCCTTGTAAGTACAATTCCCTTTAGGAACAAGGGCGACCCAGAGCTTGCCGGACCCGGGCACGGCGAACCTCGCATTGGGGTCGCAAGCTTGTCTGTCAGCGGTCGCCGAGGTCATCACCACCTGTCCCCAGACCTCGTTTTTGGGCGAGTGTTCCCCGTAGCGGCCACACTCCGTTTTTTCGCTACGCAGCTCGCTGCCGCCACCGCCGCCGCCGCCGCCGGGATCTGGATAAGTGATGTTCACGAAGGCGGTGTACCATTCTTCTTTTTCGGCCACGGTGAAATCCAGGCAGAGCAGATGCACGAAACAAAAGGAAAGCAGCCATGTTGAAAGAGCCAGACTGCGGCACGCTTGTATCACAGACATGGCCATCTTCGGCGGCTCCTGCTCGACCCCCCGTGCGCGAGTCTGCATGGGGGCGAGCGCGCGCGCGCGGGGAGGCGCGTGGGGGGAACTCGCCGGTCCGCGCGAAGCCGAGAAAGATGGGCGAGCGCCTCACCTTTGCAACTCGAAGGCTGGCATTTCGTCTCGGCGGCGCCTTCGATCCGTGGCCCGCCCGAGCCCTCCCGCCTGCCTCGCCTCTCGCCTCTGCAGCCGCCGGCTGCTCAAGGAAGACGGGAGGTTTCGGCTGGCGCGCTTGGCCAAAAGGGCGCCTTTTCGGTCCCGGCGGGGCTTTTGGAAGGAAAAGGAAAAGCCCCGGAGAGACGGGCTCGGCGCGCTGCTCCGGCGGCGTCGACTCGACTTCTGCTCTTGCTCTCTCCCATTCCTCCCCGGCCCTGCCCGGCTAGGTTTACGGCCGACTCTCGCCAGCGGAAATGTTTTGTTTGGGGGAGAGAAAGGGGGGAGTTGAAGAGTTGGAAGGGGTCGTGCGCAGGAGGAGTCTGGATGTGATGTCAAGAGCTCCCGCCGCTCCGCTTCGGAGCCAGCTCGGTCCCGGAGAAGCAGGGTTGACCTCTGCCGGTAGACGAGGAGAAGGCAGGGCAAAGGCGCGCTGAGGCGGGAGGCCGCCGGCAAGGTGAGCCCCTGGAAGCGTCGCGGCAGCCCTGGCTCGAATCCGAGAGCATTTCCGTCTCCACATTCCTACCCCTAAGGCTAACAGATCGGCGTCGGGTGCTGGATGGACGGAGCCTCTTAATAATCCTTTGCCATAAATCCAAGCCACAAAAAAGGGTCGGGGTGAACTCCAAGAAAGATCAGAATGAAGAACTGCTGCTGTCCTTTGTGTGAATTAAGGCATTCCAGTTTTCACATTTACTGCATTTTTGGCATAATGAACCTTATTTTTATTTCTTCAATTTCTACTCTTAGTTGCGGTAAAAAATATACAGCATCAAATGACCCTACAATGCCCACCTTACCGACAATAAGTATTAAAGAACAAGCAATCAAAATAACATTTTAAACAATAGTATGATAAAACACAGTTGAATTTAAAAATTATAAAAATGGATCCAGAAATCCCAGTTCTCATAATTCAAAAGCTCTCCCAAACAACTTTGCTTTCAACTCTAAACCCTAATAAAGTGGAAGCTGATTGAATATCAGGAAGAAAGGTAACCCATGAGATAGACCCTGCGCCAGAAAGACTGCACCTGCTAGACTTCTCACATCACAAAAATGATTACATATCTGCTGAGTTAAAAATGAGTGGAGAAAGCAGTCCTGGACATACCTCAATGCCAAGTCATAATAAGGCTTTAAGAGTTTTTTTTTAAAAAACTGCCATTTGAATGGTACTTGGAAGCCAATAGGAAGTTACTCAAGAGCTCAGAACACTGGTATCCTATATTCATATAGATGTGTAACACCAATTGTAGCTGCTGGATAATCTTCAAGGAGAACCTTTTTTAGAGTTCATTACAGTAGTCCAAGCAAGTATGATGAGAGCATAAGCCAATGTTGTGATATCATATTCCAAGGCAGTTCCATTTGAACTGAAAAAATATATATTTCCTGACTCCCATCTGTCCATCAACCAGTATTTCTGAATCCAGTAGGAGCCTTCCCCTCCCCCCACCCCAATTGTTCCTGTACAGACAGTGCCACTCTCATCAAGAGATATCGCTGGAGACAACAGAAAACTGCAACATGCAAATAATAACTGCCTCTTAGCAGATGGCAGCATCCAACTAACCTTGAAAAATCTCAACTGGAACTGGTTATTATGGGGATGGGAACTTATTAGAAAATCCCAAGATGTGCAGTTAATTAAGTAATTGGGGAAATTCTAGAATAGAGCAAATAGCAAACCAATTCTGATTTGTTGTAAAGCAAACTACATCCTACATTTAGGCAAGAAAAACCAAATACACAGGTATAGCATAGATAGTACCTCAATAGTAGTAACTGTGAGAGGGATCTTGGAGTCCTAGTGAACAATCACTTAAATATGAACCAGCAGTGTGCTGCAGCTGCCAAAAAGGCCAACCCAGTTCTAGGCTGCATTAACAGAGGGATAGAATCAAGATCATATGAAGTGTTAATACCACTTTACAATGCCTTGGTAAGGCCACACTTGGAATACGGCATCCAGTTTTGGTCACCACAATGTAAAAAAGATGTTGAGACTTTAGAAAGAGTACAGAGAAGAGCAACAAAGATGATTAGGGGACTGGAGGCTAAAACATATAAGGAACAGTTGCTGGAATTGGATATATCTAGTTTAATGAAGAGAAGGACTAGAGGTGACATGATAGCAGTGTTGCCATGAAGAAGAGAAAGTCAAGTTATTCTACAAAGCACCTGAGGGCAGGACAAGAAGCAATGGATGGAAAATAATCAAGGAGAGAAGCAACCCAGAACTAGGAAGAAATTTCCTGACAGTTAGAAATTAATCAATGGAACAACTTGTCTCCAGAAGTGGTGAATACTCCAACACCAGAAGTTTTTAAGAAGAGACTGGACAACCATTTGTCTGAAATGGTATAGGGTTTCCTGCCTGAGCAAGGGGTTGAACTAGAAGACTTCCAAGGTCCCTTCCAAGTATTCACTTCTCTTCTCTTCTCTTCAATTCTATTCTATTCCATTCTATTCTATTCTATTCTACATGGATGTAGCCATGTGGTCATCAGGAATCAAATGTAACTTGAAGATTGTATTTCCAGAGTATATGGCCACTTCTAAGTTACAGGTCAGCCCTAAAAACATTTTAGCAAAAGTTTTAAATAAAAGTATTCATGGATTCTACTGTTATGCACAAGGAAGAGATTAATTTCTATTACATAATGAATTGATTCACACACTGTACATTTGGTTTACTGGAGCTCAGTTCATTAACTAAAATATACAATGGTTCTATGTTTTACATCAGGTGTGTCAAACTGCCGGCCCGCGGGCTGGACGCATCACCAGGAAACCGCACCCACCCCATTGCCAGCAATGGGAAAAAAGCTCCGCCATGTCACGCGACGTCACGTGATGTCACAAGTTTGATGTGTCTGTTTTACATCAACAAAGCTCTTAGCCTTATACAAAAGAGGAAAGGAAATGAGTTGAGACTAGTTCAAGATGCTGCAACATCTTTTGCATTTGTTTAAAAAGGGACTCCTGCAAAGAGAAGAATGAATGCACAGGAACTGTATAAAAACAGATGTGGACACATTCCAGGTTGCGAATTGCAAGCCTGGAGCAATCATTCTAAATCAAACATCTCCAACAGAGCATATTTTGTCTGCCTCTTATGTGCAAAGGAACAGCCTTAAGTGCAGACATTTATCTGTGAAACACCAGTTTTGAGTCATCCAGTGATAATGTGTAGATTAGGCCTCAAGAAGCAGCATCCAGCCATTCAATCTGTTAAATGCATAGTGTGTATGTTACTTCATGTGACTACAAAATCATAGTGTTAGCTATCTATTTAAAATTCAAGTAGTGCTAATGAGATTAGGCACACATTTAAAACTGTGTTAGAAACAGCTTGTGAGAACATATTAAGTATGAAGTCCATACCATAATCCAATATTAAAAAGGAGAAGATAAAGATCTGTTCAAACAATAGAATCTTGCTTTCATCCTTGTCAGTCTAGAAAGGGTATCAAGGAGCTTTTAATCTCATTAGTTACTAATGCTATTGCATGCAATTGCTTGTGAGAACGTTCCATTTAACACAATATGATTTGCTTCTGAGCAAACATAAATTAATTGTGCTGCATGTGGATCATAAATTTCTTTTCTTCCCTAGTGAAGCAAATGTTCAGCTCTCTCCACTTGGTATCCTTTTATATAAGCTGATTGTAATTACAGTATAGCTACAGAACTTTTAGTAGTTCAGTGAGATTCAGCACCAAACATTTACATTTTGGAGAAGTCTGATCATCGCCACTCATATAACATTTATATGAATATCTAAAGATATCTATAGTATGTATCCCTTTGGAAGAATGAGTCTGCTTGATACATTACCAAGGCAATATAGGCCTTGTAGCTGCAGGGCATTTTTGGCTCTAGAATCAATTGCCTTGTTCTACCTATAACAAATGCTGAGGACTATCTATATATGCTACCCTGTAGAAAGCAGCACTATGTGACCATCCTATATTATTTGCCTTAAATGACCTCCCAAATAAAAAATACAAACTAATTTGTATTGTATGATTAACTAATAATACTGTTTTCTAAACCACAGTGATCTTAAAGATAGTCTATCTTTCTGGTTTGTTATAAACTAGGTTTTTTAAAAAAATATTACATGTATATATCTCCCAACCTTTTAGTGGGTGATGTTTCATTGGCAGAAAAAAATGGACTGTTCATGGCATTTGAGTAACACATATTACATTGCACTTAGTTTTCCAATGCATTCTTGTTGCTTTATTCTACACTGTTCAGAGTCAGCATGATGGAGGCATTTATAAATATTTTAATTAAACAAATACGTTAAGATTTATTTCTCTGACTTTGTATCAGTTTGGTTTTTCCCAACATTTAATTTCAGCTTAGATTCAATCCTGATCTCTTTTTTTAATATCAAAGCTGAACTTTGAGATATAGACATTTACAATAAAAATACCAATTAAGCAAATGTGAAGTACTTTTCTCCTCACTGCTAGGTCTACACAATGCACTGCCATGATTTGTTTAATCATAGTTAATACAGTAGTTAATTGTTTGAGTTCACACCACGCATTAAACCAAAAGTACAAACCATGGAGACCTGGGGCTCATTGCAGAACTCTAGAGTGGGTGAGGTCTACTTCTTTTAGCTGTTCTGCATTCAATGGATTGGGGAGATATCAAGTAGTAAAATAAATCTTTTAAAAAACTATTTGGAACTGTCCAAAGTCCCAAAAGCTCCACATACTATGTTTCCCCAAAAATAAGACCTGATCTTATATATATATATATTGTCTCCAAAAGAGGCAGTACATCTTATTTCCAGGGGATGTCTTATTTTTTTCCCAACACCTGCTTCGCCTTGTGGCAGTGGATCAACAGCCCCATCCAGCAGGAGCCTGCGTGGCTGCTGGCCCACTTCTGTGGCCTCTTGGGGCAGGAGGCTGTGTGGCCCACCATGCCATGCCACCGCCATGAGTGAGGCAGGTGGGAGAGGGGTGGAGCTGCCCCAAGTGCCCTATAGGCGCCCAAATACTTTTCATCCAGAGGAAGACTGGAAGCTTCATCTACTTGCAAATGGGGCGCTTAGAAACCAAGCAATTCGACCCATTTGCAAGCAGACGAAGCATCCGAGCAAAAAGTGTTTGGGCACCTATGGGGCATTTGGAAACAGAGCTTGGAGATGGAGCGAATCGCTTGGTTTCTAAGCGCCCCTTTTGCAAGAAGATGAAACTTCCAATCTCCCTCTGGGCAAAAAGTATGTGCCATGTCCAGATTGCCTGCCTTCCCCCTGCCTTTGCTTCCATGCTTGGACTTATCTAAGCTGTGCCAAGGGGCTAGCGGGCTGCGGCTGCTGCCAGACACCATCGGCCCCCCACGCTTGCCATTGCTTATGCTGGCCACACCAACCCCCTGGGCTTATTTTGAGGATATGACTTATATTAGGCCCACCCCCAAAAAAATCAGGCTAGGGCTTATTTTCGAGATGGGTCTTATTTTGGGGAAAACGCAATATTGTGGCTTCTTTCTTCTATCCCTTAAAGA